TCAGTCTGGTTTCCCGTAATATCAATACATATATTGTATTGATATTACGGGAAACCAGACTGAAAAATTCACGGATACTCATTATCTTAAGGATATAATAAAAGGTAAGGTTAATAATAACAGCATTTAAGTGTTAGATAGCTGGTTAACTACACACACCGGAACTAAAGATACACTGGATCGAGTCAAAACGGATGTTGTCTGACATCATGTGAAAAGGGTCTATTTTCAACACGGCATCCTACGCCCCTCCATGAAGTGTGTACTCGAATGTGTCGCAACTTCGACATCCAAATGGCGGGTCTGCCATTTGGATGTCGATGTCGATGTTTTAGGCATTTGTACTGCTAAAAAGTACAATTATAACAACTGCAGGTTTATTTTAAATGTACTTTAAATAAGTGTTTTTTGCTTTCCAAAGTCATCATGGTTTTATATGACTTGAAAATTCGATGTATCCTCACATGTTCGGTAGAGTAAAATAAAAATTATTTCAATGCTTTACATTTTTTAACAACAAATTCAGCTTGCTCTGTGAACACTGCCACGTTTCCAAGATGGTAACTTTTTATTGCAATATGATTTGTCAAAATATATATATATACATAAGTAAAAATACACATTAAATGTAATATTCAATTTAATAGTCTTAAAAGCAATTCTTGTGAATTGCAAATTATATGCATGATTACATATTCAACTGTTACTCAATAAAAACCATCTCTGATTTTAAATGGCTGTAACTTTAGAGACAAAAAATGTAACAAGTAATTCATAAGAATAAAGAACCAGACATCTCTTCATCCCTCAATCAGGCTAACACAGTACAGTACAGAATATTTTGCTATGATTGCTTCAGTTTCTTATTGTGTTTTTGGTCGACTATTATGGTAAACCATAGTTATTTGCTTAGGATGTTGAGTTTGGATTAAATGTTTTTATCACATACAATTATTAGCTGATATAATATGAATGACAATTTAAAAAACAAAACATAGAGTAACAGTTTATTTTTTCTATATTAAAAAGTTTATCAGGTCTTAGGAAAAATGCTGTTTTATAAATACAGTTCTCTATGATCAATATTATTTTATTAATGTGCGTTGCTAGTTTGGATAACATGACAATCAAGTTATAAGAATGAAGGAAAACATTCTAACAAAATGACCAGACACAGACCTGCAGCTGACACAAGTGGCTTTTTGGCTCACTTACATATTAAATGATGAAATATTGTCCTGTTTTTGTTTCATTCTTTTTTTAATTGCCTCCATGAAAAAGCACCGACCACCCTGATTCCTGTGGTAAATTTGGTCTAGAAAAAGCCTCTGAACCCAACTTCTTATTTGCACAAGTATTTTTGCATTAACCTTTAAAATTCCACAAAAATGAAAATTTATTACGGTGAAGACATGCACCACCATACATGTCTTCAGACCTGCATGAAACTGGGACTGAAACCCCCCAAAGAAACTCCCCTGCTGCCAATGTTCGACAGAAACAAATATTTCTATCTGAATGGAAAGATTCAGATAGAAATATTTTAATGATGTTTAAAATCATCGCCAGTCAACATCCTTCAAAAATTATTACACAAAACTGATCTCCCTGTCCTGAGCGCCTGCTATCATGGAGTCGGAATGGAAGAAGGGAAGGGGGGAGGATAGGGTTGTGGTTGCGGCCACATCGACGCGGACGCTGCGACGGGTCTGCGCAGCTGTGTTGCGCAGAGCTTCACTGGCGATGTAAGATCAGGACGAAAGGAAGAATTCTCCCCTGGAGCCTGTCTGACTAATAAGGTGCACATTGCAGTTTCACCGTGTGCACATATCAGATGTCGTCATTGGGAGAACACCAGCGCTCTGGCCTGACAAAATATGGACAAGCAGGAGCTGGGATTAATGCGGTAAGACGTGAAGCTTCATTTATTTATATATTTGGGCTGTAAGCTCACTCATGTGTGCGGTGACTGATCACGTGAAGCTTTCTATCTTCTGCAACTGCGGCATTACTTATTCTTGGTGCAGTGATTTATCTGTCATTACACGGTGTGAACTGGGCAGGCTTAAATCTGCAACAATATTCGTCTGAATTCATTTGCAGCGTGCAGTGAGTGTCGAGCTTTGCGCTCTGAGCATGCGGTGAAGAATCAGGCGGTTCATTACTAGCTGTTTTCCCATCTTCGAACACTGACATCATCCTCATCAAGATTCTGGCTCCGGGCAGCGGCTATTCATGCAGTACTCCCAACGTGCAGCGTTTGCAAGCTCAGCGCCTCAATGCGACGATCATTAGGATGTCTGCGCTCGGCGGCTCAAGTTTATTTTATTTCACTGTCTGCAGGCCGTCAGTGTGGGACTGCTGCAGAGGCTGAATCGGTGCTTTGATGACTGTTCTTAAAAATAAAATAAAAAAACTCGACAGAGCACTAGTGAGAGCTTGATGCTGTAGACAGGGCCATGCAGAAATATTTCACATTAAATTAGGGCAGGAGCCAGTGCTATAGTGTCTGCTGGTTAATCATTACAACCCAGGTTTAAATGTGGGTAAACAAAAACTCTCGGATTCTTTTACTGAGATCTTCACGTAATAACCCACCAGATAACAAAATGAAGACTTTAAACAAATATCTTCATGCTTTAGGTCTCTAGCATGATGAGGCCTAAATAATGATTGTGCTACATCTTTTAGGAGATGTAGCATAATCAGGATATTTATCCAAGGTGGCTTCTTTTCAGGTTGTAACTACTTCAATTCTTGCTAGGTGAAACCATCAGAACCAAATATGGAGAAAAAAAATCACTCAACAAAATCTGAAAAGAATTAAATCATGATATCTTGGCTCCTGTCTTAAACATGTCTGCCTTTGGCAGTCAGGGTTCACAGGAAATCTCTTATCAGTTTGGTAATATCTTAAGGAGGAAATAGAAACAACAAAAATCCAAATAACACATGCAATTCTGGTAAGTGACTATAGACATCAACAACACATCAATGCACAAATAAAGAATATTTTTAACATATTCCCACAAAAATGCTACAAGCTTGTTTTGTTGCAAACTTGTAGCAATGCAACAAAACAATTATAAGTAATTTTCTCTTCATTCCACTGGCCCTACTTTACTCCTGTTGAACTCCTTTAATATGCGTTTGTCACTTCACCAGAAGGTATCCTTAGGCTACAAATGTGTCTATTTCACTAGTAATATTATTGCAGTCTGCGCATGAATCTTGACCACATTCTTATTGACTGTGTCAGACAAAGTGTTACTAGATTCATTAATTGCACAAAACCCAGATATTTGGTAAGAGACCAGCTGTCACTGTTTTGTTTTGTTTCAGCTGGGGATCAGTGGGGTTCGGTATCCTGTTTTGTCTGTTTCCATTGTAAAAGTAGCCCATACAACCGACCAATACAGTACTGTTCATGGGCCCTCTTCCCATGAGGTTGATAAGAAAATTATATGGTACAATTATGGTGTCACACAGCACAGTCAGTTGATTGATTGACAGAAAAACACCACTATAAGTACAAGACATATTGGTGTGTCATGTTTGCCATAGCTCTGGTATGGTTCCATATTAGGCATTTGGATTTAAACCCGCCTACTCATTGAGAGTCCAATGGGCCGTGGAACGCTCTCCTTTAACTGACTTTTGTGACGACCTTAAAATACATACATTTCACCCAGGCCTTATGCGTCCGCCAAGTTTGGTGAGTTTTCATATATGTTTAGGACTCAAAAAGCCAATGAATTTGATGGAAGCATGATAAAAATAAACACTATATTGCAATACATATTTGTTGCACTTAGCTGCTTGGGCCTAATAATAATAATTAAAACTTTTAATTATTCACTTGTTTTCAGTTCTTGCTTGATGTGAAGACTTGAAAATGGCTGAAATCTTCTAATAGAAGTTTTAGTCTCTTCCTTTTTGGTGGCGAAAGATTAGTGAAGATTTCTTGTAGGATTTGGAATATGACATTTGTAGTTATCTGCTACTACATGCAGTTTCACTTATATCACGAACAGTGTCTGTTTGTGGGTTGACAAAGTTCATTCATAACCAGTTTTATGTGATTTGGCGACAATTTTTAGCATAGTAAAAACTTTTTACTGAAACGTTTTTTCTAGCTTTTGATTATTAGCATTTGAGTAATTTTTAAGTCTTTAATGGAAATCTGTAGGATGAGTTCAGTCAAACGTAAACTGTGTTAGAGGATCAAAATGGCCAGCTTACTGTGTGGGTTTGGATCATGGCTTCAAGAGACTCTTTGCAGGTATTTGGATTTAAACCCACCAAATATGTACCAAATTTCATTATCCTTGATGAAAACTTGAGCCTGATTGTTTTAATGCCTCTGAGGGCTGCTGTGAAGGTATTTTGCCACACCCACCAGATTTTTTTCCTAGATTAATATCTTCAGTTTGGTGCAAATGAAATGATTTGTGGAAATTTGGGCTAAACATAAACATAACCAAATGTCAGACTGCACCTCACTGCCATGGTAAAGTCCTCCATGAGACCAACTTTTTGTTACTCATCTGATTCAATTTGATGTGGATTAGGTTGAGAGGGTAAGAAAGGGATCCTTTTTAAGTGAAAATATAACTACTTGTTGCCAGGGAGCTGGGCTTTGGTGAGGGCAGGAAATTACCATATAATGTCACTGGGCAACTGAAATGGATCAAGCTCACCAATTTTGGTGTAACTGCAAATTCTTTTTAAGATTTGTTTGCTCTAGTAGCCTTTGTTTAACAGTTGTCAGACAGGAAAGTGAGTTGCAAGAGAAAGGGAAGACATTCAGCAAAGGTCATCAGGCCGGGACTTTAACCTGTGACAGATATGTCAACAACTAGGGCCTCCATGCATGGACTGCACATTGTCCCTGTGCCACCACAGCACCCCATAACAGTGAAATTCTATGTGAAGGTTATGACATCAAACTTGCCTTTTCACCATAAAAGTAAACTTTTATGGTCAAACTTGCCTTTTCACCATAAAAGCATACTTTTATGGTGAAAAGGCAAGTTTGATGTCTGACCACTCCCTGTAGAAAACAAGAAAACTCATTGTTTTTGATCAGTTTTAATGACACATATTTTAAGGCTACAATGTCAGAATTGAAAGCCTAATTTTGGATACCAAATTTTTTTTCAAAAATTTCCAAAACACTTTAAATAACATAAAATAGAAATAACCTTTATTATCTCACAAAGAGACTTTGAATTTGTACCAAATGTCAGACTTCTGGCCTGGCTGTGTCTAGCACTGAGGAGCAATTTGGCCACACTCACTTTTCATTTCTTTGGCATTCAAACATTTTCACAGTGGCTGATTTTTGAAGAAGTTTTGGGAGTTTTCACAAATGTTTTGATAAAGAGAATAAAACTATCAATAAACTTTTTAATTACAATAAGATTAAATATTCACATATGTAACAAGATCTCACAACATTAAAACATCACAATATTTCTTGTTGAGGTGACTTCTGTCTTGTGAGCACTAGTCAGTTGCTTGATGGACCCTCATAGATGCCCCAATTACTCTAAATGTTTTGTTAACATAATTTGGGGATTTCAGTAGGAACTACAAATGGTTGCCGAGTTATAAATAAGAAGCAATGCATAAGCTCTGAAAGTCCTTCATATGATGAAATAAGCAGATAACAACATGGATGGATTTCAAAGTATACATTGCAATAAATAATAATCAGCTGGGAAAAACTGTTTTACAGATCCTTTGAAGTCCAAAGGTCTGAAAAGATAAAAAGAAATCAGAAAAAGCAATCTGATTTCTTTGGATCTGTTTTTTTGAGTTTGTGGCAAAATCTATGAAAAGGCAAACATAAAAGCATAAACAGAAACCTTGGAATGAAGACATTGTTGCTGTATAACAGTCTCATGAAGAGGATGCTTTCTGTAATTTGTAAAATTTTATGTAGAATCCTTCTTTGCACCATCATTTCACTCTGTTCCACAGTCGACCCCAGAAAAGAACAGGAACAGAACCAGCCATCTTTATCAGATGCCGCTGCTGTAGCATCAGAGCCTCACCGACTCTAATGCTGCTGCTGCAGCATCAGAGTCCAGTCTGTTGTCCAGATGAACATCTCCACCTCCACTTGTCCTCCCATGAAATAGGGTTTGATCTAACCCTGTTTCTCCTGAAACCTACAGTCATTTTCTTGATTCTGCTAAATATTTTTTTTTATCAGAAAAGAAAAAAGAAGGTATTTGAATATGTGTTATCTTATTCTGTTTTATCATGTGAAAGTTGTAGGTTTAAGTAAAGGTAAAATAAAATATCAGATGTCGCATATATTCAACTTTAAAAAAGTATGTATGTATATATATAAAACTAATATTTCTAATCCCCTTCTTCCATCTACAAATGTGAGTAACATAGTTTTGTATTTACTTAGCAACTGGTTGATGCTTGGGCATTGTTTTAGTTCCATATTCAGTTCGGTCCATAGTTTGACCCCAGTTACAGTGTTGCAAAATCTTTTCTTAGATGGACATCTAAGAACATATGAACATCTGCATATTTTGAAATTCAGTGTTCCCCTTAAGTTGTACCCACCCTCCCTTTCATAAAACATTTCCTGAAACTGTTTAGGTAACAGATTCTAAAAGATTTTATACATAAATAGTACAGTTTGATATTTCACAATGTCCTGCAATTTAAATACTGTAAATTAGACTTTACAAGCAAATTATTTGTGTGTGTAGATAGTAATATCCGCAATAAATTCAATTAGTGCATGGGATGCTGATCATTTACTTTGGAAGCCATATTGACGATTCACAAGTAATTGATGTTTTTCAATAAAATTGTCTAGTTTGCTATTGAATAGCTTTTTTTAGAAGAGAAACAGGATGGTAATCTGTGAAGTGGTTTTTATCTCCAGAGATAAATCTTTAGCAATTTTCATACTATTGTAAAACTGACCAGTTAATACAGATAAATTATAAATACAAGTAAGAATGTTAGAAGACCACTCAATTACTTTTTTTTTTTTTACCAATAGCATATCAATGTCATAATCAAATGATGTTTTTTCAGCATTAACAATATTTATAACTTCACTTTCATTAACTGGTTTAACAAATATAGTATGAATATAGTACAGACATTTATTTCTATTACAATATTATCATTCACAGAATTTCTTCTACTAGTTTTGGACCAACAAGAAAGAACAAAGAAATGTTTTTTTCGGTTGTTTTTTTAACTATTTCATACATATTACCATATCATTTTCACTAAAACAGTCCTGACAGCAGTGTCAGGACTGCTGCAACAGTGATAATCATAATTTCAAGTAAAATAAAACAGCGTTGCCTTTAGCATCCAGATTACATCTCATTTATTTGTTAACCAACAAGCCTTTTATAGTGTACAATATTAATGCTTTACATTACTTTTGTTTAATAAACCTTATTTACTTTTTCACCAGTAATAATAAACTTTATGCATTTCATTTTTCACATTACCATCCTGCACTCAATGAAGCTAACCAAGGTATAGTGTATTAGATGGGATAAATCAACTGTTTTAAAACTTTACTGCATTTAGTTGCCTGTTAACTGGCTAAACATCAAACTGTACACTGATTTTACCAGTACAAGACTTAGAAAAATATATGGAATTTAACATGGAATTGTTTCAACTTTAACCTGTGAATTCCCACACTTTATAAACAAAGAATAGTTTCTCTACCTTTAACTTCAGCTGGACTCACTTCATTCTCTGAGCTTCTTTATGAGTCAACAAGGAATATGCACCGAATATTGTTCGAACAAAAGCAAAATAAAACTCCTAAACCCTTGAGTTAGTAAGATATCACAGTCTTCTAATGATCTAACCCTACAAAAGGTCCCCAGTGGTTGTTGGCATCCTGCCAATCTAAACCTCAGCTAATAGAACATTACAACTATTAGAATGGTGCATAGGAACTGCAACACAGGCTATCTACTGGTCCAATAAGAGGTAAACATAGAGTAGTTTTGGTGTGTTTTCACTGTGTACTTACCTGAAGAAGAATAAAACAGAATTCAGCAATGACAGCCAAAGTGCTGCCTTTAGCATCCAGATTGTGTCTGAGGCAAACAGGAAGTTAGTGTGTAGTTAGCATTGCATAGCAATTTTGGGTGGTCATCGTCCCATTACACATGTAATATATATTAAGAGGGTAAGATTGTAAACTATAAAAACAGTTCACATACATAATAGTTCACAAAACATGCCCAATTTTTTACACATGTACCTATAAAAGAAGTGTTTATTGATATGCCAGTACACATGTCAAAATCAAAAACAATGTGACTGAAGCTTAAGAAAAGAGTGATTCTTATTTTTTTTAATTATTCATTTTCTAAATAAAGATCAGACTTCCAAAGTTTGAACAAGATTCTGTCTTAATTAGAGTTTGGCATAACCAAAGGCAAAGGACTAGGCATCTCCTATGGGCTTGAAGACCAGATCAGCTATGGTCATTTGGATCTGAGTTTTTTTTTTCATCATTCTTTGATTGAATATGTTTCAATCAAAGAAATATATTAAATTATACACGTACTAATTAAGAAATTAGTACATGTGAATATTATGGGTCACAACTAATTTTCACAACACAGAATGTGAGCAACAATTATTAGCAACAATTATTATTGTTATTGGTAAATTGGTAAATGGACTAAACATATATAGCGCTTTTCCAATCATTTTGATTACTCAAAGTGCTTGACACATTCAGAAACACACACATTTATACACCAATACGCAGATTGGTAGGCAACATGTGTTATTATTATTATTATTATTATTATTATTATTATTAACAATTGTTAAGCATCTACTAGATTTGCTACTGTAAAAAACATTGTTTCCAAGCACACAAAAACATACTTCAGTGCAAATGACAAAGTGCAGTATACAGAATTTATATCACTCTAACTTCTTGTACACTATGCTTACAATGTCAGACTCATTTTCTACAGGCTCATGGAACCAGAATAACACAGTTCCATATCCTCCCCAGGATTGAAAGAACCAATAACTGGATCCTCTCTTAAAAGCTTTTTTCTTTGTAGAGTTGTGGGTCATCAAGCACCAACAAAGCACAGCTTTCTGCCTGAAACACAACCTAATTCTAATACTAGTCTTTATTTTGAGTAAAACAATGACATGTAGCATGCTATAGATATGAAGAATTTGACTAATAACACAAGTTGCACAAGTTTTCATATATAAGGTACCCAATTCTTGAACATGACTCGTCGGTTTATGCACATCTTCTCTTTGTATCCAGTTTTGCATGTTACAAACAGCATCAAAATATAAAAGGTAATTATATATATAAAATAATATGTATTGATAAAACGCTAAGAGGGATTTGTCTAACTGTAGAGTTTAAAACAGAAGCAGAATTAGGTTTTCCTGGGGATAGGGATCCAGTTCCAGTATTTCTGTGTTGCAGTGCAATACATAGATCATGAAAAACTGCTATATATTGCTCACTGACCGGAATGTTACGGTGGTTGTGAGTTATGGTCACTGACCTGTAGGGCTCTCTTCATGAGCTCTCTCTCTCTTCGTGTTTCAGCTCTACCTGGCTACCACAGGTGAAAATGTGTTTGAGCTCGTCAGCCACTCCATAAAGAGCTCCATGCAAGAGATGTCAGGCCCCCTTTCCCTGGGCGTTGATCTGCAGTGATCTTGTCTGTCTGCTGACAACAGTCAGCAGTCTGTAATGGTGACAGACAACAGTCTGTGGTGACTTAAATGAAGCTGGAAGCTGGTAGGGGTTCTCTGCCATTTTTGTTCTAAACTGTTTTTCTCCTGGTTTGTGGATAGCCTGGGATTTCAGGATTTGTACCATTTTCAGTTCTCTAGAAAGTGGTTGTTTTATTTTAGAGTTAAAAGGGGGTTTAAGCTTCAGGGCTTTGGAGACCCTGAAGCTTAAAGCGTCCCTGTTTTTTCCTTCTTTTGTGATTCAGATTGTACCTAAATTGTAAAATAAACTCTTTTGCTACTGATATCAACTGTTTAGTTATTGCAGTTTTTGTGTTACACCCAGTGCCAGAATTTACCCTTAGTTGCCTTTTGGAGGGGTTGTAAAATTGTGTTGAAGAAGTGGAACATTATGTTCCTCTGCATATCCTTCAGCACTTTTTGATAGCCTAAATCTTTACTTTATTGGTAATGGTGAAACATGTTACAACTACCACAACTACATTAACATTAACAGGGATGGTGATTTTCAAATGATGATAAGAAGTTTAATGATATGAAACAATGGTACAAAATTCTCATGTTTTTGTTAATCTTATTTTTATATGTTTTATTAACACTTTTTGTACTATTATGTAAACATCTGATAATCTATTCTATCAGATGTGGTATTAATTTTATGCCAGATGTAATGGGACACACACCTTCTAAGAGTTTTGCTTTCATCCCAACAGTCCACAGAATGTTATCCCAAAAGTCTTGGGAAAGTCAAGATCTGTCTGAAAAAATGAGAGGACCTTTAATGGGGTCTTTTTGTTTTACGTTTTTTGCTAGTTTTCATCTTACCTCTGTCCCATGGAAGCTATTTTTGTCCAGTCTCTTATGATGGAGGCATTATCTCTGAACTTAACTGAGGCAAGTGAGGCATGCAGTTCTTTATTGTGGTCATTGGTTTCCTTAAGACTTCTTGAGTGAGTCACTGCTGTACTCTTAGGGTAATTTTGGTTTACTAGTCACTCCTGGGAAGTTTCACCACAGTTTCTTGGTTGAGCAATCACTTTTTCACATTGTTCACTTTGTCACATAGATTTAAAAAATGTTCTGCTTTAATAATAAAAACCTTCATTTAAAATCTGCTTTTTGTGTTTACTTGTGTTGTCTTTGACTAATATTTCAATTGGTTTGATGTTCTGAAATACGTAACCAACATAATAACCAACATGCAAAAATAGGAAATCAGGAAGGGGCAAACACATTTTTACATCACTGTAGATTTTTTGTTTTACCACTTAGGTTGCTGAAGGGAAGTAATAAACATTTGATGTAAGTTAGACTTTAGTTCTTAAACTTTAGATGAGTTAAGTTGAGTTTAATACAAGTAATTTTACTTAATACATTGGATTTTATATGTGAGTAATGATGCACTGCCCCTGCATGGCTAGTAAATCACTTTTGGTGAGCTAAAAAGAAGTGATTTGACTTGATATGTAATTATTCTCAATGTTTTTCATAAGTGTAACTTTAAAATGTCCTGCTAGACAACGCCTTGTAAATGTCTTTTCATACATGTCCTTCATGTAACGTAAACAGAAAGAAAAATGATTGTCTGTTTGTTTGCCTCCTTAGGTTACCACAATATTGAGGCAACTTCATGGAGAAAACTAAAGGAATCCCTTTAAGATGACACGCACAGACCCACCTGATATACTGGTATCAACTGTGCATCAAGACATAAAAGTGATTCCTATATCGACCCACTACAAATCTTTGCAACCCTCCAAACAATGTGATTTTATAAATTGCATTACACTGGAGGACAATCAGAGCAAAGTTAATAAGAGGCACTGTCGAACCTTTGACTATAAGTCATTGGAGTACCCAAAATCACACAAGTCCTCAATGGAGTCCCCATACAGAAAAGCTGATAGACATGCAGCCAACCCAGATGTTGCTTGGAATGCCCTGGGTCGCCACCAGAGATACCGTTTTTCTGCTCCAGACATTTTCAGTCACAGATTAACTCCTCAATCAGTGATTGCAGAAAGGGCAAGTGAGGTAGTTGTCCATGAAAATAAAAGAAGGACCAGGTCAAAAAGTGCCTCTCGTGTTCAGACTGGCCTGACTCCTGTGACTTTTGAAGGTTCCTCATCATCAGGAAGGAAAGGAAGAGAGTCCCAAAGGGTTCCAAGAGATTCTCGCTGGAGAGCTGAAACATCCCCACTTAGAGAGTCATCTCATGCAGCAACAAGGACTCATATGCATGAAGTACATCCCATTAAGCTCCAGCCTCAAATTGGTGACAGCAGTAGATATTCACCACACTACGCTTCTGATAAATTTGAGGATGGAAGTCTAGATAAATCAGCAAGTAGCCCCCATGTTAGGTGTCGAGTGGACATCAAGCCAGATGATGCGGCATTACATCATTCAGGTCAAAAACAGACAACATCTGCAATGGATATACCCTGGCAGAGGCATCACAGTACTGGGAGAAGTCTGACTGTGCCACGTCATTTCTCCTACTCCAGAACTCCAACTCCCACTGACTCAATGGGTGCGGAAAGTAGGCAAGCTTATCAATATTCCCGAAGTATGCCGAATACTTACCTACATCACATGGAGCTTCCATTACAAAGAATGCCTTCTGCTGGTGATTATTATGGTAGAGGACATAGAGCTCATTCCAGTCCTAATGTGCCAACTAATTTCTTTTATGCAGATGATGTAGCCAGATATGTGACTGCTCCTGCTCCAAAACCAGGATCTTTTTTTCATGATGAGCATTACACACCAGGTAAAACATACAGTCCCAAAGTACAGTATGTGCAAGATCCAAGGACTCGAATAGTGCATGCTGTAGCTACTAGACCATATTATTCCGAAATGGAGACCCACCCTTACTCTGTGCAGTCAGGATATCCCAAACCATATGCTGAAAATGAACCAGGGCCATACATCATAAGCACACCCCCCACAAGTATATTGTATGGTGATGATCCAAGAACTTATCAAATTCAGACAGCACCACCACGATTTTATTATTCCAGTGATATGTTTGCAGTGCCCCCAGAGCACCATGTTCCAGCAAGGGCATACTATACTGAAGGTCGAAGACACGCTAGAGTCACTCAACCACAAACTGATGACTGGTATGGCTCTGATGCATCTGGTTATTCTACCAATCCAGCCTCCTATGTGTCGCAGATCACTCCAACCAGAGTCCGCCAAGAGCCTGTACTAACTCCATGGTATACCAATCCATGTGTAGAACCTCAAAAAATAGGTACAGATTCCAAATCTTATTCCAGGTCTTGGGACAATATTCTCAACTCACGTGTAGAAAGAGAACAACCTCTTCCTGTACAGAGAGGTCAGAGCTATGATGATCTTCTGGACTCCAGGAAGCCGCCTATGGCCACAGGTGACAAACCAAAACCAGTGGTAGTCAATCTTTCCAGTTCACCAAGACGCTATGCAGCCTTATCAGTGTCTGATAACTCACTTATTGACAAAAGTCCAACAGAGATGTCAAAAAGTCCCACAAGCAAACTTTGGTTTGTTACTCCTGAAATAACAATTACTGATAATGATATTAGGCCAGGAAATCTTAACAAGGCTGAAGGACGGTCTGCAAGTTGGGATATTCTTGACTCTAGGAACGCTGAGGGTCTAGAATTACATGACTTTGATAGCTCAACCAAAGAAAAGACACATGATAATGCCTCACTTCAGCAAAGCCTTGAGCAGCTTGATGAACTCCTAGCAGATCTTGTGACTGACTACAAGCCACCGAGTAGACGAACAAGTGAGGAGATTTTGGACCAATTAAAGAAGTTAATTGATGAGGAAGAAGCGGTATCTCTGTCCAGAAAATGCTCAAAGCCAGATACAGACGAACCACTGCCTCTGGACAAGCAGCCAACTTCAATCAAAATTAATCCAGATGTTTTTCGTGACATGGATGGGCCAAGTGATGCAATGAAGACCGCAGAGGAATGCTCTCCAGATCAAAGTCCAGATGAGGACGATACAATGATGTGCTCCAACAATAAGTGCCGGAGAACAGAGACATTATTCAATGCTTGTCTTTATTTTAAATCCTGCCACAGCTGTTACACCTACTACTGCTCTCGGAACTGTCGTAGAGAGGATTGGGACATACATAAAGAAAGCTGCTTATATGGAAGAATTGGAAGCACATGCCGGCATATTATAAAACACTGCCGGGAGACTGTTGAAGTCCATAAAGCCTTCTCCCGTATTGCCAAAGTTGGCTACCTTTCTCGAGGTAGGGGGGTTCTCTTCCTTGGCTTTCCAAATCCTTCTTCATCTTGTAGCTTCCTGCAGTATGGCCTGAATAGTTTACCAATGTCTCCTACATACCTGTCTCTTCGGGAGCTTGAAAGCTTCAAGGACAACCTGGGGGAATACTGTAATGAGCTGCAAGAAGCTGGTAAAGAATATGACCCAAACGAATGTTTCATCTTGAATGTATCCATTGCTGTGGGTGACCAGCTGCCCGATGGGCCATCGCCAAGGAATCAAGCTCCTACAGTTAGAAAATATGCAAAAATTGCATTGGCTTCCTTTAGTCCTGAGAGAAAGGTTCACAAGAAAGAGAGTGAAATGGAAACACTGATCCTTACACCACCTCCAGGAACGGCTGATATTGACATGGAAGGAGAGGAAGGTCGGAAGGCACGAGAAATCTGTTTTATCAATATACAACGGGAACTGAGAATGAGAGGAGTTTTTCTACGCCATGAATACCCAAATGTGTATCAACAGCTTTGTGAATTTGTGGAAAGCAACAGAAGGTTCACACCCACAACTATTTATCCAATTGATAAGAGGACTGGTAAACAGTTTATGTGCATGATCATGGCTGCCTCTGAGCCCAGAACACTGGACTGGGTTGGCGCACCTCATCTGCTTGATGACATCATATAAGGGCACCTTTTGTTGAAAATAGTGTACAGAAATACATACAAATTCTTGCACATATTTCTGTTGGTCTAGCTCAGTGGTTCTTAACCTGGGTTCGATCGAACCCCAGGGGTTTGATGAGTCGGTCTCAGGGGTTCGGCGGAGCCTCTGCCGCGGAGGTAAAGACACACTTGTGTAAAGTTGTGATGACGCGCCCCGCTTTGCCATCACTTGCTCCAGAGGATCACGTTACATTGCTTAGCCAATCAGTGCTGCGGAGGAGCACTGATTGAAGGAGTTCCACTCTCAGCATGGATTTGAACTTATCTTTAATTACTTCAGCAAAGCTCACAGTTTTTACCAAATTCTGTAGCTTTCGCTGTACTTCTAAATCTGCTCCTTAGTCTAATCTTTTCGGGCTTGCTACTGCCTCTAGTGGCGTGGGGGTGGTAACACAACTAATATAATTACATTACTAAATCAGAATACTGCAAAGTCTTTATTATTTATTATTAATTTTTCATTCTCTTAAGAATGTAGAGCTAATTAAATGATCTAAACAAGACTTTAAAGTGGTTCCAGTTTCTCTCGATGGCCAACCTGTTGAAACTGTGGCAAATTTTAAATACCTTGGGTTGTTCCTGAACAGTCAGTTCAACTTTGCTGAAAACACTGACTATATTTTGAAGAACTGTTCTCAGAGACTCTACCTTTTAAGAGACTTAGTGATTTTCTTAAAGTGACCCAACTAGACTCTAGTTGGGCCACCCATATGTCAAGAATTTTGAAAAAAAAAAAAAAAAAGATAATTTTATTTATCACAAAAGAAGGGTTCAGTGAATGCGCATATGAATCTGATCAGTTTGTTACCTCAAAAAAGGTTAAGAACCACTGGTCTAGCTGTAGACAGTTGTGTGTAGTGCAACTATAGAAATTGCATACATTCATGCCTGCTTGGTCAGTATTATTTATTATTAAAATATTTCTTATCAGGTGTAGAAGTACAACATATCAGTTATTTATTTTTAACACTATAAAATGCTTTAAATCATCCACAAGTCATTTCCTGGTTTTCTACTGTTACAACCAAAGTCCCTTTGGTTGGGACTACTAAACTCACATGTTTTTTTTAATATCTCAGATAAGTAAATAGTGGTTATTATTTTGTCCTGAACCTTTTTACATGACTGTCTACATCTGTGAGTACAACATAAATATTTTCATATCTAACTTTAATGGTACGACATGCTGGAAATAAGAAACATTTTCTTAGCAACGCAAACACTTTCTATGCAAGGTTATTTCATCAATCAAGTACCACATTCCTGCAGGTATAGCATCTGCTATATTATGTATGATTCATACATATTATTATATAAATATATAAAGAGATTTTAGAGACTTGTGTGCAAAGTAAAGATTTTGATGGAAGTGTAAATTGTTATTAGACATAAAGGATGCCTGAGAAAGAAACATCTTGGGCTGCTTCAGATATCTAGTAGAAAAGGCACAAAATTTTATATTGATTTGAAAAGGTATTCTATTGAAAACATGGACTCTTCTGTCTAAAGGAATACTTAGAGACATTCATATCAGCATAACATTTCTTTATTCTGCTCTGCAAAATTAGCAGAGCAATCCTGGACTTGAAAACCTTCATAATGGATGTTAAAATGGTGCCAGTTACAAGCCCCACTAGAGGTGTTGGCCTGTACTCTTCAGTTTAAACACTGTGAGTAGTGGAAGTTACCTAAAACAAAAACTCAACTTGGTCAAATACCAACATATAATGCAACTTCTTTGAAATACAATTTTATAAGTTTGAACAAAGTGAGCCAGATTTTGGCACAGTAACTGTAAGGTAGACTTCTGAAATAGGGACAGAAGAAGTTAGCTGTGAATTTGTGGTGATCTAGGTTTATTACATGTATGATGTCCTTATTAGTTTCAGCGAATCAGAGTCTTTAATTTGTTTATTAGGTACAAAAATGTAGAAAGTTTAATATCACTTAGCCATATTGCCTCATTCTTTCTGTTGATTGTGTATTTGTAGATTCCTAAATCTTAATTTTATCCTAGAGGTGAATGGAAAGAAGGATGTGGCTTGAATTTATTGTATGTTTGAGTGCTAATATTCTATCTAAATATGACTTACCTGACACCACAAAAACATATAATCACAAATGAAGGTGGATCAATTTGTTGTCCTTTAGCAACATACCGTTCTCAGTCCTCAGAATCTGTACAACAAAGTACAATGAAACTTGAGGCTTATATATATATATATATATATATATATATATATATATATA